AAAATTTCTTCAGCGAACATTTCTTTACTTTTACATTTTATGGTGACAGTTGCCACAAACCCTTGAAAAACATAACCTGCATATATGGCGTGATTTCCCAAAATTTGATTATTAAGGATTTGTAGTTTCATGCACTGACACAAAGGCCTTTCAACGATTTCAAATTACAGATGTCAATGAAGCGTGGGAGACATAGGCGCCGGAAGTGGGGGTGGGGGGGGGGCAGTTTTGCCCCCCCCCCCCCCAAAAAAAAAAAAAAGAAGAAGAAGAAAGAAGCAGTATTAAGGAGAAAGGACATAACAATAACAATAATAAAAACCTGAATTAAATCACATATAAAATTCCATTCAAAGAAAAGGAAAGTTAACAGGAATTAAATATTTCCTAAACATTGATCCGCATATGCCACCTATATTTATCAATAGAGGTTTTTATCATAGCGATATATATCGTGGAAATATTGTGAGAGAATGGAAAAGCGTGTGTGTTTTTTGTAATAGGGGTGAGAAGACATGAGCCTCTGAACGCTGGCGTACTGATGAGGGGGGGGGGGGGGCATATTTTTGTATGTGTTTGTTGGAAAATTAGAAATTCCCAAATTTACAGTCGGGCGATAAATATGCTTATTTAGACGCCTTCATGTCAGGGCCTCCCTCATTTTTTGAAAAAGTATGTTACAGAGAAAAAGAAAGAAAGAGAGAGAGAAACAATAAGTGACCTGCTATAATGTCACAAAATAATAAGGTATCAATATGCTCATTTGATCGTAGTTAAATATCTAAAAACCTCTGAGCATCCGGGGGCTCTGCCCCCTGGGCACATCAATGACCTTAATGGCCTTTGCTCATTACGCCAGCACTGCCCCTGGAAGGTGAGCCCCGGGAATGTTTGCCCCCCAAACTGCTTCCGGCGCGCCTGGTGGGAGAAATGGTTGAACCTAACAATGGAAGTTGTAAATAAATTTGCACCACTTAAATTAAACGTATGCGTAGGAATCCTTGTCTATGGGTTTCTGGTGACATCATTCAATACATAATTATACTCGTGATCACTTTCATGAGAAAGCTCTACAAACCAAAAGTGATTTAATGTGGAACAGATACAAACATTACAGAAATTTAGTCAATATGATGGTTAATCAACAAAAGAAGGATTATGTTGACTCTCTTCTTCAAGAGAATAAGGGTAATCCTGGTGCCCTATGGAAAACATTAAAGAGTTTAACAAATGCAAACGTTTCTGAAAAGATAACGTTACAAGTCTCGGGAAATGAAATAGCTAATTCAGGAGAAGTAGCAAACATTTTCAGAAATTTTGTCAGTAGAACTGTGAAAGGTTTGCCCGACAATTTCGGAAGCATCAAATGATGAAGTGATAACCACAAAATGCAGTACAGCCGAAGATAATCTGTCGGAACCGACAGAATTGTTTATTTTGCCAGTTATTGACAGCGAATTTATAAACAAAGAAATTAAGGGTTTTCCGGTAAATTAAGGCGCTACATGGAATGAAGGATTAAGTGTCACGTATACAATCTGTCACTGACAACTGGTGTAGTGCCTGCTGCATGGAAAATAGCAAGATACAACCCATCTTCAAATATGGAGATAAATTTCAAGTATGTAATTATAGACCGATATCCATTCTCCCCGTCTTATCCAAAATAATAGAAAAGGCAATCCATATGAATCTCCTTGAATGTCTGTCAGAAAAACGACTTGCTGTGTCGGTATTCTTGCCTGATCCTCGTGTACTATATCAATGCAGAAGTTTTAAGTCGGTGACATGTATAATGTCGGTCGGCCGACAAGTTTTTTTTTCCTTTAAATGAAATGTGACTTTTCATCCGCAGTGACGGCTTCAAGAGAGACTACAACTATAATACATGTATTTTCTCGAGGTTTCACTTTCCTACAATATCAACTAAAGAAATCAGAGGTTTAAAATTTTCGGGGAAACTAAGTTCAAACAAGGATTAAGAGTCAAGAACGGGATAACGAATCGTCTTTTTTCTCTAATATTTTTATGAGACGCCAAAGCTTCCTCGCTTTGCGCGGGAGGGGGGGGGGGACTTCATTCAGACAAGGATTAAGTCGAGAACGGTACAACGCATCGTCTTCTTTCTCCAATAGTTTAAGGAAACGTCAAATCTTCCGCGCTTCGCGCGACAGGGGGGGGGGGGGATCGAGCTGTATTCAGACAATTAGGGTTAAGAGTCGCGAACGGTACAACGAATCGTCTACTTCCTACTATAATAATTCAATGAAACGTCTACGCTTTCGCCCTTCGCGCGGGAGGCCCTTCACCTACCCCTAGGGAGCGCGCTTGCTCACTACCCCCCCCCCCCCTAAAATAAGATCCTAGCTTCGCGGGGGGGGGGGGGGGAGGGTTAGGGGTGCTTACAAGGTGCATCACATGCGAAGAGGACGGTATGTAAGGGGTCTATTACCTTCTCTTCACATTACCTCTTTCTCCCTCCCCCTTTACACCATCTTTAATCGCGGGAAGGGTTGCTTGGTTCCGTGTTTCCAGTAGCTCTATGCATGGTTAGAAATCTATACATTTCTGATCTCCTGTGATATGATATTTTTGATTTTTAATGAAGGAATAAAAAGACACCCATATGGTAGGCACAATGGGGGGTGCTTCTACGACTAACACCGTACATGTGTCATTGATTCCTTACTATGTTGTTGTCTTTATAAAATTATCTTTAACATTGTTTTTATTAGTTATTTCAAAAATGAATATTACGAAGAGCACTTTTTTTTTTTGGGGGGGGGGGGTATACGGTACGGTTTGACGGGAGGTTTTTTTCATAAACCGGGAGCCTTCTACATCGTTGGCGGGAGCTTTCAGATACAAATTCACCATTGTCACTTAAATGTATCATGATTCTGACATGCTCCACATACTTATACAGGTCATGGCCACAGTTGAACAACAGTAATTGTTTGGACTATTTGTCCTTGACAAAAACTTGAACTGAAATGATTTGTATCTTTATGTTTTTGGTCGCTTAATATGGTGCAATTTTTTGTTTGTTTTTGTAGTGTATGTCACCCTGGCTGCATATTGATACATGTTGTGAATGTTTCAGTACTGTTAATTTTCCAGGAAACGTCTTCTCTATGATTATTGATATTATTGACAATCTACAAAATAAAGTATGAAATATTTGACAAGATTATATGATATCAGAGACATAACTGATGTAAGGGACTCATTTACTTTTCTCTTTTAATATAACATACCCCATTTAAAATTAATATCTATGCTTAATGTTTGCATCCCCTGCCCTCCGATAAAGAGAGATGTGGATGAATAAATAGCTAAGGGAGGAAAGATTGGGAAAGGAAAAGAGAAAGCGAACAGAGAGATGAAAACAGGGAGGTAAAAAAAGAAGGAAGAGAGAAAGAGAATGGGATGAGAAAGATAGACTCAAGAAAGAGACAGTTTAGATGTTATGGTATTATCTTTATTTTTTGTCCTCTCTCTCTCTCTCTCTATCTCTCTCTCTCTCTCTCTCTATTCTGACTTCATTTAAGTTCTCTCTTGTCTAAGAATTACCTCCCTTTCTCTCACTCCCTCCCTCTCTCTCTCTCTCACACACATACACACACACACACACATACACTCGTATCTCTTTCTCTCTCCCTCTCTTTCTCCGTTTTATTCTTTCCCATTTTCTTCTTCCTGTTTTCCTTTAGTTTAGTATGTAATGTTTTTGTTTTTGGGGTATGATACTGTATACGTGTATATATTGGGTGCTCCGTTTTAACAAGGAGGTGCTGGTACCTCCTTGGTTTTATGAAAGGAGGGGGGGGGGAGGCTAGCACGTGAGGTTTCAGCCCCCGCCCCCCCCCCCCCCGGTTAAAGCTAGTGTTATCAAAAACAAATTATTATAAATGTTATGAGCTACTAAAATCATTGCATTTGCGTGTCTATAAGAACAAATTTGTCATAACATTTTGGAAATTGTTATTGGTGAGAAGTTTTATGAAACGAGAGCACATTTTTTTTTTCAGTGCCCAATTCGTCAGGAAATACTTAGCCAGTGAATAAGCGGGGGGGGGGGGATGTAAGGGGCACTAATTTTTTAAATTTTGTTTGCCAATTCGTGAGATTTCGTATACAAAATCGTTGTTCCTGGTGGTCCCTCTTCTTTTCTGACAAAACATGGGGGGGGGGGGGTGGACATTTGATATGATGTCTCACCTAGAAAAACTCGTGGGGGACGTGTCCCCCCTGTCCCCTAGGGATTGATGCCCTTGGAGAGAAACATGTTGAAGGAAAAAAACAGGAAATCTGGACGTGACCTTCGACAAACGTAACCGCTACTCCACGTATTAATCGAACCCCTTTCCGGATCATTCTCTATACTCACATGTATAAGAATACTGCATAATAGTGGAAATCCACTGTTTTAGGATTCATATTAGGTCGCTCTTTATGGAGTTAAATCCACTTCAAGTTATCAATCTACGCCATTGAAGTGGTTTGAATTTGTATTTAGTAGGGAAACTTCATTCACATTGTCCAGGAATATTTTGTTATACTAAACATAAGAGGAATAAGAATATTAAAAATTCACGTGAAAACTTGGAACCTACAAAAATAATCACATCCCATCCCGTCACGTCACATCCCATTCCATGAGCACTAACATTTTTCTTTCTTTTTTGCCGGAAATTTGAAAATCGCGCCTGCTGATATTTCGCTCTCAGGGGGGGGGGGGGGGGGGGGGGGGGCGGGCATAGTGAGCATTTCTTTTTACTCCCCCCCCCCCCCCCACTTGAGAAAAAAAGGTAAATTTGTGGTCATCATCTTTTAAAAAAACTTTTTTTGCAAGGGGTGGGGGCCCGTCTCTTCTGTTCTTTCTTTTTTTGGCCAGGAGGGGGAGGGGGCGGGCCCATCGCCCCCTCCCCCTGGATCCGCGCCTGCCTCTAGGTCCATTCTAAATACACCAACAAACGAATAAACAAAATATACATCTAGAATAATAGAATGCTGATTGAAATTTTATTCGCTTCAGGTTTGTTGATCTTAGGAGATCTTTTTGATGATGAAATTTTTACATGCAACCGATTATCACAAAGTTAGGGTACCTGCTAAAACCAAATATTAAAATTTACAGCTGTTATGATACTCCAATTTCCGTCTTTTGGAATTTCTGGAATTCAAAAATTTGTTAATGTTGAAAACATGTTTTGAGTAAAATCTCGATTCAAAACTGTTCAACAACATTTTTTCATTAAACTATGCTGGAATATTAAGGGACAATTAGATACTTTAGAATATATAAAGTAGATGAATATGTTCTAGAATACAGGAATCAGGAAAATATAGAAGATTCAAGTTCAAGTAATTCAACCTGTAGATAAAGATGTGGTAAAAGAAAACCTACATACAAGAAATTTACATACAATTTTCATGAGAATATTGTAGACTTTGCTTTAAAATACCTTCTGAGTAATCTACTGAAATAAAAAATACATGTTTTCGTTTCAGCACTAATTCAAGCATTTAAAATAAGATGGCAATGATATATGCAGTAAAAGTGAACAAATATTACACACGAACACACAAACACGCACGCACGCGCACATACTTAAAATGACCTTGACCGTATGTTTGTGTGTATGCATACTGTGTCTTGATGCTTGATATGAAGTTATGCCACTTACGGCTTTGAACTTTGATCGTAATTCAATGTAATGTGCTTTGTCGACAATTTGTACCGGTGGCGACAATTTGTGCCGTCAGGTTTTGCAAAAATCGGCGCAAATTGTCGCCGTCGACAATTTGTGCCGCAACAGACGCCCATGCATATCATATTTCCTTCATTGCTGTAGGACCTTATACGATAATATCAAGCCTGGAGTAACTTCATCGTTCTCAGTCGCATAACCGATCTCCTCGTGTGATATCTTCTCGAGTACTCCATCTTTGGTCAGACTGGCAAAGGATGATTTCAGCTTTATGCCTGCCATCTCCTCATCAAAGACGTTTTTCCTCGTGGTGATGAGAATATGTCCTCCTGAGAAAAGAGTGATTCAACAGTGATTATCATATTGGGATAATAGATGAACTGATGCGTAGCAAAAATATAAGACAAAATAATTTTGCTTCGTTTGAGAAAGAGAGACTATGCAAATATGCTAATGTTTTGTATACCTATACTTTACATATTACGCCAATGGAAATAAACTAATACTCCTCTGATACTAGTCATTTACACATCATCAAAAGATTATGGATCGGTGTCAGACCATTGGTTAAGAGAGGAGGTTGAAACTGTTACGGGGGTTGGATTCATGTTTTAAATCTCTTTAACTCGTTTGATGAGTAAGGTAAAACGAAATAAACATTAACATAAAACAGCCTGCCACTTCAATTAGGCATTGTAATACAATGTTGGTATAATTTTAATGGCCTCATTGATCATGTTAATCAAATACAGTCTGGGGAAAGACTTTAAGGTGGTTTCAGGTAACTGCTGTAACTTGAGATCGTCATTCTTGAGTTGCTAATTGTACGTTCTTTTGGTATGGCAAAGTTGATATGATTACGTAAATTATGATTCCCTACAAGTGAAGTACGTATTATTCTGAAACTATAGCACTTAACATTACGTAAGATATACTTTGAGTGGTTTAATGTCGATTGTCGAATGATGTTGATTGAAATTTTTTTTTACCAGCTTTGAGAAGACGAATAATCTCTGGAAGACAGGCGTGAGTGAGATGACACGGTACAAAAACACCAGCGCTTATTATCACGTCAAAATAACCTGGAAATAATAAAGGGTATATAATACCGAGTTAAGATAGGGTGAGAAGAAGAAGAAGGAAACAAAAAAGAAGAAGAAGAAGAAAAAGAAAAAAATGAAGAAGGATGAATGGTGTCTGAGAGTAAATGCTTGGGAGAGGAATAGCGAAAAAAATTTAGGGCGGCTGGACTTAAACTAGGGGTAATAATAATTCTTTTCGCAATATAAAAATGTAGCTATTATTATTATCATCATTATCGCAACGAATGAAATGTCAATTTTCACATTATTGTATTTTAATTTTGTTAAACAAGCCTCTTGATAAAAAAATATTCATATTGCGTGCTTTGAAGTAAGAAAAAAAAAATATCTCAAACTATTTTAGAAGCTCAATTTAGGGTTAAATTGAGTAATACTACATCGAATGCTTACCATCGGCATATTGGAGAGGTGTGCTAGGATCAAATCTAGCCTTTACTAGCTTCGAGTAAATCTGTTTCTTTTCAAGAACCTTTAATGATCCAGCTGACATGTCTACTCCATGTATATCACGGTATCCGTTATCGTAGAGCTACAACGGTGGTAGAAGAGAGAGAGAGAGGGGGGAGGGCAGACAGACAGACAGAGACAGACAGTGAGTGTGTGTGTGTGTGTGTGTGTGTGTGAGAGAGAGAGAGAGAGAACCATACAAATTTATTTTAAGAGTCCGTTTTCTGTCTGATATTTCATATACATTATTATTTTGCAAAGCATTCGTAACCATAACTAGCTAGAAAGAATAATTATTGTCTTAATTTTAATCATACCAGGGAGGTGATAGAGAAGGAGTGGAATCAAGCCGCTATTCTTTGACTCCATGCTCCAAGCCGCCGAAAAGTTATGCGCTATTCCGCAACTGACGAACAGGTGGTGAGATACAAGAGCGCATGACATAATCAGGATTTAGAATTCCTATATTAGAAAATGATATCTCAGCAAATGTTCGCTGTCCCTTTCAATGAGTTTTTTTACCAACTCTGGCACACAAATTATTGGAAGGGCGGTGTACTAAGTTTGTTTGTTGTTGTTGATGCACTACTCCCAATACGATCCCCATATAATACGATCCCCATTTCGCCGGTAATTTAATACATGTGAAACTGGTGCTAGGCCTCCGAAATTCCCCGCAATTGGAAAAACGGCTCGGAGCATGGAACTTCAAAGCCAAGTGGAATGTTACGCATCCAATTGTTACGCCTTAGAACTCACGCATGCGTTTGAATAAATTACAAGAGTTTCCACTCCTTCTCTTGTTGTTGTTGTTTTTATTTCCGAAATCAGATTAAAATATTATACATAGTAAAATATACAAAGTAAAGTATTTATACATGGACATAGACAAAAATCGGTCGAAAGCCCAATTCAGCAGTGTTTATAGAACACTACTGTTCTTCCTTGGGGTCCTTACACTACAATATTAACATAAAAGCGACATAAAGCAGAATAGAAACAAAACACAAATACAAGTTTTTGTAAATACCAAACTATCACAATATTCAAAAATACTATCATACACGTACTTTTTTGTTTTTAAAGCAATTTTGTTTTATTTCTCCAAATGTATAATACAAACCATAACATACAATTGAATAAAATAAACTTGTTCAATATTGATTACTTTGACATAAACATAATTAAACAAAACCTCACTTGCAGTATATATAACTGAGCAACAAAGTAAACGTATAGGTATCTAAATATAATATTGGTGGACAGTTGCTAAAATCGATTTTGATTTATCATTATTGATTTTCCAATTGTAAATGTTATTTACTTATATAAAAATAAAAAAAAACTTAAACAAATCTGGAGGTAATTTTAACTGGAACAATGCCTGGTCCTCCCTGCCCCCTCCCTGGCCCTGCCCCCTCCCTTACACAAAAACCCCACCCACCCACACACATACTCAACCACTCACCCACTCACCCACCCACCCACCCCCCCCCCCCCCTACACACACACTACTCACTCAGTGGATGTCTGCTAACATTCTCAACTCAAGAAAAATATACTAAATAAGTATACAGGCCGCAAAATAGAGTTACACTTTTAACAGGCTCACGGTGGAGAAGAAAACAAATCTTGATTAATCTTAAGCTGCTCCGACTTTAAGAAATGTGATCCCAGCTTTCCCATTCTAATTGCTATTTTCTTTTCCTCATCCCTATACTTAAATTTTTTTTTTTTTCATCTTTTCTAAAGTTGGTACTCGCCCCCCCCCCCGATCTTGACATAAATGTAACATACTTCACCATGAAAATGATAGTATTAAAATGATAGCGTACACCCACCGACACATACACACACACACCCACACAAGGTTATGCAAACTCATTTGAGTTTAAGGAAGTGTGTTAAGAAAAATTATCAGTTATTAGGGTATGGAAGGATCTTAATGTAGTTGCATTTCGGATGTGTTCTGGTAGTTGGTTATATTGTGTCGCCCCCTATAGAAGAATGTTCTTTTGCAATTATTTGAATTCGGTTTAGGGAGATCTAGATTTCGGGATGAGCGAAATGAAGAATCATACGTGCGATATTTGATATTATTTGACATATAAGACGGAGTGTAATTATTTAATATTGTAACAAATCAGGGTTTTAGTATTGGACGAAGGTTAAGCATTTTTGTTGTACGCGCATGCGCTATAGCAATATGGAGCATCGTTGATTTAGCAATTACCAAACTGAAGGAAAATGAGCATAAATTACATATTTTGATCATGTTGGTGCAATTATCATGTTTCTTTTGGGGATATTACTTGTATAGTAGTTATCTAATCAGGAATAAGGGGTTATACTGAAGATTATATGTGAAGATTTTATGGGATTAGCAGAAATGTTGTGTTGAAGTGTTGTTTTACTAACGAGGACATAATTGTTCTTTTATGCGTTTATGTATAGGGAAATTTTGTGATGGCCAGGGTTGTGCATCTAGGGCTTTCCACTGCACTGTATCCGATACAGGCCAGCCTCACCGAGGCTGGCCTGATAGTTGGCCTGATAGTTGGCCTGATAGTTGGCCTGATAGTTGGCTTGATTGTTGGCGCTGGCCTTAGTCTTTAGATGAAGTCTTACTCCTAGTTTACACTAGTCTTGTACTTGTTGAACGAGTTTACCCTGAATGTTGGCTGGTTCGCATTAAAAGAATTCAACATGCAACTCATGATTGGTCTGATTTCTTACAACAGTGAAACCGTAGTTAGACATTGAGATCGAGAATCAGTGACAGGAGTTGACAAAGCATGGTGATTGATTGATTGATTGTTCGAAGGATGTTCAATTGACTGTTGCTGTGCACAACGATTGGGGTGACCGATTGCAGTCGAAGGATGCATGATTGTTAATACGCCCTGTGACGTGAGCAGTGAAAGAACTCCAGCCATCAAGCTACGGGCATATACTTTGTCCAAACGGACGGAGAGCGCCTGGCCGACACGGGGCATCCTGACAAATATTCCGTGTCAAGCCAAGGTGGCGAAAACGTGCCCGTCACAATATCTTAAAAATCATAGTACATACATGCTTTTTGTAACGGCAGTCTAGAAAGTCCCAATTTAGAGTATCATGAACATGTTGATTGGATTTGAATATAATTATGCATATTCAAGCATGTATAATGTGAATCCTAGTATTAATAAACTATAGTAAAATAACAATTTCTCTATCACCTCCCTGATCATACCTAGAGAAAGGAATGTAACCCTGGGTATACATGCCACAGCAGTAATGTTGCATCATGTCATTTCAAATGTTAATTATCCCTTAATAATTCCGCTATTATCAGATCTAGGCTATTTTTTAGTATAGTTCTATGTATTTAATGATTTACATAACATTCCTTCGTATCATTAATTACTATGGGTCAGGATACTTCCATATTACTTAAATAAATGTTAATATTTTGTAAAATGTATATACTAAAAATCGAATTAGTGTGAATTGCAAACATTTTGGTCGAAGTGAAGGCCAACTCGGCTTCAAATCATAAATAATCACAAGACTGCTCTGACGTCACTTCCATGATTATGATGCAGAACCGATTTGGCTTTGTCTCCTACAAGGAAACTTGCAATACACTCCGAAATTGTTATTTTACTATAGTTTATTAATACTACGATTCACATTATACATGCTTGAATATGCATGTTCAAATTCAAATAGGCTATATTCATTTTCTTCTCAAATGTTTTAATTATTCCCAAATCGGATGGCAGTCAGAACGAACAATGTGTTGAGGTGGCGTAGAAATATATCATATAGCTCCGTTTAGTCTCATTTGAGAACGCCCCCTATCGGCAGAGTCTAGCAACCTAACATGTACGTAAGCCTATTGACTTTTACCCCCCTAAATCGTTAAAAAAACAACAAAAAAAAAACAACGAAAAGCACATCCACCCCGACGTACGTTTTCACTAGCTCTTTCATTGGAACCCTCATGTCCCATTGACTTTTGAAAGTTCACCCACCGTAATTTGATCAAAATAGGTCGCAAACTCGCCATTGCCTATATAACACAAGTCGAACTTTGGACTCAATATTCCACGCGATTGTAAGGTTATAATTCAAGCACACGAAGGATAAGAAGCATGAATTATCATAGATCACTTCTGATTTGTTCATTATGTCCATTTCATCCAACCCCCCACCGTAATTTTTCCATTTATAGGAAAGCATTTTGCCGGGGTAAGCAAAAACATGAATATTCATGAACACCATGGACTATTCGATTATTAGCAGAGGGGTGCAATTGTGCACCACATCAAACTCCCCTACTTCCAATCAAGTATTCAATTGTATTATGTAGTTTGGTAGGTTTATTTTCACTAGCTCTTTCATTGGAACCCTCATGTCCCATTGACTTTTGAAAGTTCACCCACCGTAATTTGATCAAAATAGGTCGCAAACTCGCCATTGCCTATATAACACAAGTCGAACTTTGGACTCAATATTCCACGCGATTGTAAGGTTATAATTCAAGCACACGAAGGATAAGAAGCATGAATTATCATAGATCCCTTCTGATTTGTTCATTATGTCCATTTCATCCAACCCCCCACCGTATTTTTCCATTTATAGGAAAGCATTTTGCCGGGGTAAGCAAAAACATGAATATTCATGAACACCATGGACTATTCGATTATTAGCAGAGGGGTGCAATTGTGCACCACATCAAACTCCCCTACTTCCAATCAAGTATTCAATTGTATTATGTAGTTTGGTAGTTTATTTTACAAACTGTCTAATTATCAGATATCAATGATAGTTGAAAGATATGGAAAAGATTCTTGTATTTAAATTTAGCAAAGCAATCTCACATACAAAATCACTATCAATTGTCGTCTGATCCGCCGATTGCCGTCTGCTATAAACGCGAACAAGCCTACGTTTGTGCTGGCGAAAATGAGACAACCGGAGCAATATGCAATTGAGGGCATTGGAATCAGGGAGGGCGGTCGGGGCGGTCGCCCCCCCCCCCCCCCCCCAACGTAGGAAGAAAAAGGAGCAGACAAAGAAAAAAAAATTAGACAAGGATTAGGAGTCGAGAACGGTACAACAAATCGTCTTCTCTCTCTAATAATTTAATGAAACATCAAGGGAAACTCCCCCTCCCTGCACCCACTCCCCTATATTTAAACGTCTTTGCCCCTAGCCCTAGGGAGCGCGCTTTGCGCTTTGCGCGCTCTGTAAGTGATTCGCACGCTTCGCGTGCTCATACCGCCCCCCTAAAATAAAATTCTAGCTACATGGTTGGGCGCGGGGATCTTATTCGGAAAATGAAAATGTGAGCTTACAAGCCGAAGAGAAAGAATGCGGGAGGGGTCCAAATGTGTTTGTGTCTCATCCTTTCCCCATTTTCCCTTTCCCTATCTCTATTTTCTCGCTTTTCTTCCTTTTTAATTTTACTTCACAACTCGATTTGTAGGCATGGATCGAGGCACTTATTCCCCCTTGTAGCTACGCCATTGGTGTGGTGGGTTTGAAAACTAACCTGTTGACCGACAAGCCCAGTGCCGCAGCCTACGTCTAGTATTCTCACATCTCGATTCGTTACCAACCGGGTGAGGGCGTCAGCAGTCAAAACAGGCCCAGTGCCCTTCAATGCGGCATTCATCTAAATTTCATATATTGGTCATGTAGATAAGGGAATACCAAGACGAGAATTAAGTGGTTCATTAGTTTCCAGTGAAAGTTTAAAAGCTTAAGTATCATTTCATTCAAAAGGGACTTAGTATAAAAATGGTGCTAAGGTAGTGACTTCAATGCTAAATGTACAATTAAAGATAATCTGAAAGTTTGAGTGAAAACGGACCATTATTAATGATAAAAATTGTGGAAAACTGATCTGATCGATTCCTTAATTCTCCTTACTATATTATTACAATTTAATTACATTTTAGGTGCATTTAAATCGTCACAGAGCAATGGATTGGCTTGGCTCTATATACCATTCCAGACATTCAAGTGTTAAAAGATTTTTAAAAGCTTGTCTTATGACTTATTTTCGTAGAAAAACGGTTGGGAAAATTCAAAAATGGTTAGGAGAATTTACCGTTAATCACTGTGAGAGGGTGTTGCACAGTGACGCCTTCAAAGAAAACCATAAATATCTTTGTGGTTTGAGAATTTTCTCAGGACTTTGTGCCTGTTAGAAGGTAAGTACAGTCGAAGGACTGTACAAAAATTACACAATTTTTTTCATCAAGAAAATAAGTATGTTTATGTCAAACGAATATACAGTAGGTAGTTAGCTTCAGTACAAATTATCCCTCCCCTCCCCCCTCCCTATTCACACATCCTGTGCATATTGAGATGTCCGCTTGTGCATTTCAGAATAATACTGTCAAAGTCATGGAGGCGCTTCATGAATACCTTTTGTTTGCCCTCTTGAGAATATTATTTACACATTCTACCCCGACCACAACCCGTTTTACGATTTTCTTGGACAGTTCCAGAACGTAGTGAGAACTAGTTTGGTATATTATAGGGGCTTAACCATTGACCCTAGTGGCTATGTCACGTACCTTATCATATTGTTCAGCAAAATCATCGTATTTAGCTTCGAGTGCGTCAGTATTGCTTTCTTCTCGGAGTGCCCGTGCCCATTTCGCCAAGTCTGTTGGGATTTCTTTCTCTACCTTGGTATCCTTCTCGTTGTCATTCACATTCATATTGCGGATTGTTTGATGCTTATCTGTGGTAAATTCCCATTCAACGCTTCAAGCTGTGCAGATCAAGACAATCAAATGTACTGCTATTGATGATCGACCACGTCGCGTTGTAACACGTCCCTGGCCTAGTAGTATAGTAGGAAAATGATGCATACTATAGTCTGGAAAATCATTTGGTGGGAAAGGTCAAACAAATTGCCATGTCAATCCAGTGGCGTACGCAGGATTTTTTTCAAGGGGGGGGGGGGGGGGTTTCCAAAAAAACATACATAAAACATACACATTAAAAAAAACCTGCGTACTCGCCTGTGTCAATCAATATCAGTTCGTTACCAGCCAATTAAGATAGATGATCTAAAATATACTCTGAAATATAATCCATTCGATACTATAGCTATAACAGAAACTCACTTTGATAAGACCAGGGCAGCGTTTCTCGAAACTACAAGTTCACCGACATCCCATTGAAACGCGTGTTAAACTTAATACACGCGTTTCGACGGGATGTCGGTGAACTTGTAGTTATGACGGTTTCGAGAAACGCTGGCCAGAAGAGGAAGTGAAACCTTTATGTATGAAGAGACGAATTCCAGACAACTCGCCACAAAGACAACCCGCCCCAAGACAACCCGCCACAATACCCTGGACATCTCGCCACAATACCCTGGTCAGGCGAGTTGTCCAGGGTGGGGTGCCTTTTCGGACAACTCGCCACACTTTTTTCCCCTCATGATTTCTAGATCTAAAATCCCTCATCTTAAATGAAATTGTCATTTTTCATGATTTTCGTGCTTTTATAAACACAGTCATTACAAAGAATAAAGAATAAAGCTGATTTCCCTTGCAACAATAATATATTTTTGACAAACCGAAGGCGTACGATCGCCAGATCATTGGGATAACTTGGTATTTAGATCTAGAGGTCTATAGCAGCTGCATTTTTCTGTCTCAGAAATTGTTTAATGGTAGGATACTGGAAGCACTGGTGTACTGATGGGGGGGGGGGGGGGGTATTTGACCCGCGAAATAAAACAGGCGCGGATCCAGGGGGGGCCGAGCGGGCCTTGGCCCCCCCCCCCCCCAACCCGCAAAAAAAAAAAAAAAAAAAAAAAAGAGAGAAGAAAGGAAAAGAAGGGAAAGGGAAAGAGGAGAGAAAGGGAAAGAAAGAAGAGGAAGAAGAAAAGAAAAGGGGGAAGAAGGAGATCGGGGAGGGGGGGGCGAAAGGGCCTTGCCTCCCAGGCTGTTGACCCCCCCCCCCCCCCATCAAAAAAATAAGAGAGAAGGAAGGAAAGGGAAAGAAAAAGGAAAAGAGGAGATACTGGCGTACTGATGGGGGGGGGGGGCTTGGGGGAAATCAAATTCAAACGTGGTTTATTTCTAATTCCACAACGGTGGATTACAAATAATGCTAAAATGACATAATTTCCGAGATTTTTCCTCACTTTTTAGTAAATTATACGTTTGTATGTGTTTGTTGGAAAATGACAAATTCCTAAATTTACAGCCAGGCAAGAAATATGATTCTTGAGATTCCTACATGTCAGGGCCCGAGGTACAGCGGGGATCGGGAGCCCCGAGCCCCCCCCCCCCCCCCCCCCCCCCCCCCCCCCCCCCCCCCCCCCCCCACTTTTTTGAAAAAGTATATTAGAGAGAAAAAATATAGAATGAGAGCAAGAAAGAAAGAATAGTTAACTGCCAGTGTTAAAAAATAATGAGGCATCAAAATATGCTCATCTGACCGTGAATAATGCCTAAAACCCCTAAGCTTCCGGGGGCTCTGCCCCCTGGATTCCACCTAGGGCCCTACGGCGGGCCCTTAGATGCTCATCTGATGGTAATTTAATGCCTAAAACCCTGAGCTTGCGGGGTTAGACAAGGTATCAAAATGTGTTTATCTGACCGCAGGCGCGTAGCCAGGGGGGGGGGGGCGGTCCCCCCCCCCCCCCATTTCGGAATAGAGGACGTAGGAAAAAAAAGGAGCAGACAAAGAACATCTGTGAAATTCAGACAAGGATTAAGTATATACAGAACGGTACAACGAATCGTCTTCTTTCTCTAATGATTTAATGAAAATTAAAAGCTTCCGCGCTTCGCGTGAGAGGGGGGAGCCTGAATCCAGACGAGTATTCAGAGGCGAGAACGGTAATACGAATCTTGAATGGCTTAATGAAACGTAAAATATTCCGCGCTTCGCGCGGGATGGAGGGGAACTAAATTCCTATGTGGATTATTTTCGAGAACGGTACAACGAATCGTCTTCTTTCTCTAATGATTTAATGAAAATTAAAAGCTTCCGCGCTTCGCGCGAGAGGGGGGAACCTGAATCCAGACGAGGATTAAGAGTCGAGAACTGTACAACGAATCGTCTTCTTTCTTTAATAGTTTAATGAAACGTCAAAGCTTCCGCGCTTCGCGCAGGAGGGGGAGGGGGAGACTGAATTTAGACAAGGATTAAGAGTCGAGAACGGTATACAGCGAATCGTCTTCTTTCTCTAATGATTTAATGAATCGTAAAAGCTTCCGCGCTTCGCACGGGAGGAGGGGGGGGGGAATCTAAATTCAGACGAGGATTATTTTCGAAAACGGTACAACGAATCGTCTTCTTTCTCTAATGATTTAAGGAAATTTAAAAGCTTCCGCGCTTTGCGCGGGAACCTAAATTCAGACGAGGATTAAGAGGCGAGAACGGTAATACGAATCTTTAATGGCTTAATGAAACGTAAAAGCTTCCGCGCTTCGCGCGGGATGCATGGAGGGGGAACTAAATTCCGATGAGGATTATTTTCGAGATCGGTACAACGAATCGTCTTCTTTGTCTAATGATTTAATGAAAATTAGAAGCTTCCGCGCTTCGCGCTAGAGGGGGAACCTAAATCAAAACGAGGATTAAGAGTCGAGAACTGTACAACGAATCGTCTTTTTCTTTAATAGTGTAATTAAACGTCAAAGCTTCCGCGCTTCGCGCAAGAGGGGGAGGGGGGGGAGACTGAATTTAGACAAGGATTAAGAGTCGAGAACGGTACAACGAATCGTCTTCTTTCTCTAATGATTTAATGAATCGTAAAAGCTTCCGCGCTTCGCACGGGAGGAGGGGGGGGGGGAGAATCTAAATTCAGACGAGGATTTATTTTCGAAAACGGTACAACGAATCGTCTTGTTTCTCTAATGATTTAATAAAACGTAAAAGCTTCCGCGCTTCGACCGGGAGGAGGGGGGGGGGGAGAATCAAAATTCAGACGAGGATTATTTTCGAAAACGGTACAACGAATCGTCTTCTTTCTCTAATGATTTAAGGAAATTTAAAAGCTTCCGCGCTTTGCGCGGGAACCTAAATTCAGACGATGATTAAGAGTCGAGAACTCGACAACGAATCGTCTTCTTTCTCTAATAGTTTAATAAATCGTTAAAAATTTCCGCGATTCGCGCGGGAGGGGAAAAATTAAATTCAGACGAGAATTATTTTCGAGAATGGTACAACGAATCGTCTTCTTTTTATTTAATGAAACGTCAAAGCTTCCGCGTTTCGCGGAGGAGGAAGGGGGAAATCGCCCCTCCCTGCACCGACCCCCCCCCCCGCATTACGTCACTGTTGGTCACCATTACGTTCCAATATTTGGCTCGCATAATTTCAAATTTGGGCCCCCCCCCTAAAAAATCCTGGATCCGCGCCTGAAATAAAATTGAAATGTGATTTATTTCTAGATTTTCTGGGTTAGTTTCGTCAGAGGCGGCATTCTTCATTGGAGGGGGGGGGGGGGGACACTGTGCCCCCACTTTTTCAGGTTCCCCTAAAGTGCCCCTTTTATCCTTTGTACATGTCCTTTTTCCCTTCTGATAATTTTTAATGGTAGGAATTCATGGAAGGGTACTGGAAGCACTGGCGTCCTGATGGGGGAGGGGGCAGTTGACCCGCGAAATAAAATTGAAATGTGGTTTATTTCTAGATTTTCTAGGTTAGTTTCGCACAGTCCAAAATAGATTCTTGTTGCGGGTGTTGTTGCAAGCGCAAGGAAAATCATCTTTATTCTTTAGAACAGCTCTCAAAATACTCACAATTTCCATGTTTCCTGTCATGACTGTGTTTATAAAAGAATAATGAATACATAAAATGACAATTTTATCTAAGATCATGAAGATGAGGGATTTTAGATCTAGAAATCATGAGGGGAAAAAAGTGTGGCGAGTTGTCCGAAAAGGCACCCCACCCTGGACAACTCGCATGTGGCGAGTTGTCCAGGGTATTGTGGCGAGATGTCCAGGGTATTGTGGCGGGTTGTCTTGGGGCGGGTTGTGTTTGTGGCGAGTTGTCTGGACCCCTGAAGAGACAACACGGCTGGACTTTGATCTCGAAGCAATATTGTAAAGTTACAGTAGTTCGTAACGAAACTCTTCTGATTTGTGTATTATCAGGGAGGTGAGACTTTACTCATGCCCTGGTATTATAATAGACCACCAAACGTTTCAGTCGAGTATTTCGATAAAATCTCTTGTATGATGAAAAGGGCGATTAGCGACAATGTAGAAATGATTCTACTGGGAGACTCTAAATGTGATTTATGTCAGGATAGTCTAAATTCAAGTGCAAATGATTTTTCATCTTTGATGACTGGTTTCTTATGCACACAATTAATTACTGTTCCTACCCGAGTTACTATGTCATCGAAATCGATAATTGATCATATATATTCTGCCAACGTAGACAAACACATTGTCGCTGGTGTATATCAAATTTTCTTCAGCGAACATTTCTTTACTTTTACATTTTATGGTGACAGTTGCCACAAACCCTTGAAAAACATAAGCTGCATATATGGCGTGATTTCCCAAAATTTGATTATTAAGGATTTGTAGTTTCATGCACTGACACAAAGGCCTTTCAACGATTTCAAATTACAGATGTCAATGAAGCGTGGGAGACATAGGCGCCGGAAGTGGGGGTGGGGGGGGGGGGGGGGCAGTTTGCCCCCCCCCCCCCCCCAAAAAAAAAGAAGAAGAAAGAAGCAGTATTAAGGAGAAAGGACATAACAATAACAATAATAAAAACCTGAATTAAATCACATATAAAATTCCATTCAAAGAAAAGGAAAGTTAACAGGAATTAAATATTTCCTAAACATTGATCCGCATATGCCACCTATATTTATCAATAGAGGTTTTTATCATAGCGATATATATCGTGGAAATATTGTGAGAGAATGGAAAAGCGTGTGTGTTTTTTGTAATAGGGGTGAGAAGACATGAGCCTCTGAACGCTGGCGTACTGATGAGGGGGGGGGCATATTTTTGTATGCGTTTGTTGGAAAATTAGAAATTCCCAAATTTACAGTCGGGCGATAAATATGCTTATTTAGACGCCTTCATGTCAGGGCCTCCCTCACTTTTTGAAAAAAGTATGTTACAGAGAAAAAGAAAGAAAGAGAGAGAGAAACAATAAGTGACCTGCTATAATGTCACAAAATAATAAGGTATCAATATGCTCATTTGATCGTAGTTAAATATCTAAAAACCTCTGAGCATCCAGGGGCTCTGCCCCCTGGGCACATCAATGACCTTAATGGCCTTTGCTCATTACGCCAGCACTGCCCGTGGAAGGTGAGCCCTGGGAATGTTTGCCCCCCAAACTGCTTCCGGCGCGCCTGGTGGGAGAAATGGTTGAACCTAACAATGGAAGTTGTAAATAAATTTGCACCACTTAAATTAAACGTATGCGTAGGAATCCTTGTCTATGGGTTTCTGGTGACACCATTCAATACATAATTATACTCGTGATCACTTTCATGAGAAAGCTCTACAAACCAAAAGTGATTTAATGTGGAACAGATACAAACATTACAGAAATTTAGTCAATATGATGGTTAATCAACAAAAGAAGGATTATGTTGACTCTCTTCTTCAAGAGAATAAGGGTCATCCTGGTGCCCTATGGAAAACATTAAAGAGTTTAACAAATGCAAACGTTTCTGAAAAGATAACGTTACAAGTCTCGGGAAATGAAATAGCTAATTCAGGAGAAGTAGCAAACATTATCAGAAATTTTGTCAGTAGAACTGTGAAAGGTTTGCCCGACAATTTCGGAAGCATCAAGTGATGAAGTGATAACCACAAAATGCAGTACAGCCGAAGATAATCTGTCGGAACCGACAGAATTGTTTATTTTGCCAGTTATTGACAGCGAATTTATAAACAAAGAAATTAAGGGTTTTCCGGTAAATTAAGGCGCTACATGGAATGAAGGATTAAGTGTCACGTATACTATCTGTCACTGACAACTGGTGTAGTGCCTGCTGCATGGAAAATAGCAAGATACAACCCATCTTCAAATATGGAGATAAATTTCAAGTATGTAATTATAGACCGATATCCATTCTCCCCGTCTTATCCAAAATAATAGAAAAGGCAATCCATATGAATCTCCTTGAATGTCTGTCAGAAAAACGACTTGCTGTGTCGGTATTCTTGCTCGATCCTCGTGTACTATATCAATGCAGAAGTTTTAAGTCGGTGACATGTATAATGTCGGTCGGCCGACAAGTTTTTTTTTTCCTTTAAATGAAATGTGACTTTTCATCCGCAGTGACGGCTTCAAGAGAGACTCCAACTATAATACATGTATTTTCTCGAGGTTTCACTTTCCTACAATATCAACTAAAGAAATCAGAGGTTTAAAATTTTCGGGGAAACTAAGTTCAAACAAGGATTAAGAGTCAAGAACGGGATAACGAATCGTCTTTTTTCTCTAATATTTTTATGAGACGCCAAAGCTTCCTCGCTTTGCGCGGGAGGGGGGGGGGGGGGGACTTCATTCAGACAAGGATTAAGTCGAGAACGGTACAACGCATCGTCTTCTTTCTCCAATAGTTTAAGGAAACGTCAAAGCTTCCGCGCTTCGCGCGACAGGGGGGGGGGGATCGAGCTGTATTCAGACAATTAGGGTTAAGAGTCGCGAACGGTACAACGAATCGTCTACTTCCTACTATAATAATTCAATGAAACGTCTACGCTTTCGCCCTTCGCGCGGGAGGCCCTTCACCTACCCCTAGGGAGCGCGCTTGCTCACTACCCCCCCCCCTAAATTAAGATCCTAGCTTCGCGGGGGGGGGGGGGTTAGGGGTGCTTACAAGGTGCATCACATGCGAAGAGGACGGTATGTAAGGGGTCTATTACCTTCTCTTCACATTACCTCTTTCTCCCTCCCCCTTTACACCATCTTTAATCGCAGGAAGGGTTGATTGGTTCCGTGTTTCCAGTAGCTCTATGCATGGTTAGAAATCTATACATTTTTGATCTCCTGTGATATGATATTTTTGATTTTTAATGAAGGAATAAAAAGACACCCATATGGTAGGCACAATGGGGGGGGGGGGGGGTGCTTCTACGACTAACACCGTACATGTGTCATTGATTCCTTACTATGTTGTTGTCTTTATATAATTATCTTTAACATTGTTTTTATTAGTTATTTCAAAAATGAATATTACGAAGAGCACTTTTTTTGGGGGGGGGGGGTATACGGTACGGTTTGACGGGAGTTTTTTCATAAACCGGGAGCCTTCTACATCGTTGGCGGGAGCTTTCAGATACAAATTCACCATTGTCACTTAAATGTATCATGATTCTGACATGCTCCACATACTTATACAGGTCATGGCCACAGTTGAACAACAGTAATTGTTTGGACTATTTGTCCTTGACAAAAACTTGAACTGAAATGATGGAGATAACTGACAAGTTGATGATTTCAAAGTGTTCTAATTACCTAGAAAATAATTTGTGTGCATGTAGAATGCATAAAATCAAGCTGAATTTGTTTTAATCTGGCATTCTATGGGATAGGGAGTATTTAACATGAAATAAAGAAAATCATAATACCCAAGGGAACCCAAGTACACTTAAGTTTGATGTGGGCCCTATTCTATGCAAACACATGCAGGTGCATCAAGTAGTATCTTCTCACCAGTCGCTGACATGAAACTAGTCAACAATCTGGCTGATTTAATTTTTAATAATCTCCACCACTGCACGATCTCCCCCTACTTCCCGCAAGCCGAAAATGATGTGATACCAGAATTTTTATGTTGTTCTTAGGCTGGGCGTACGAGTTTGTTGATAACGCTATCTACATTTGGGAATATAATAGAGATATGAAATAGGAACAAGCCAGATTCTAGACTAACATTGAACCCATAACAAGTTTTAGTTTTCAAATTCTTTAGGTCATTCATCTACAAGAGATGCTGAGAGGGATTATAACTTCAAGGTTCAAGTATTATAGATACTCTAAATTAGAAAAGTAGTCATGACATATTTTGTGATGGAAAATGTTGACAACAAAAAATAACACTTAAAGATAAAGTTGAGTTCTGGTCATGTGATTGCATTGTGAAAGAAACGTTGTGGAATCTGCCAGAAAAGGTTGATCATCTAGTATATATGTATTCGTGTGTATTGCAAGGTTCTGGAATCATCAAAATGATAAGAAATTTGGCCAAATCTTGGCAAAGTTACAAGCACTGTACACAGAATGATGTATATGGGACTACACGAGCACATGGCGATAAAAACCTACCCCCGATTTTTACGATGTTTCATGTCATATTTAGAATATGAAGGCATTTGAAGAGCCATGCCTTTCAAAAAACATGTTTAATCTGATGTTCTTCCACGCTTGCATTTTAACAATGATAATGCTCACAAATTATTTTTTACCTCTTCCCAGAACTCAACTTTCTCTTTAAATTTTGATTTCTCAGATATACGAGTACTCCAGAGGAAAATTCAATTTGTTTTCTTTTCTTTTCGGTCTGCCCACGCAGGTTTATGTACAAGTAGAAAAAAAAGAAGTGATTTCCAATACTCTATATTACTTTGAATATGTGTTTTACATGCAGTGTCAGGTGAAATATTGAAATTCGTAGTTCGATGTTGGATCATGCAGCATACCATATACCATGTATTCAAGAAGAATAACAGAACACGGAAGGGAATCCTTTTTGGCATCTGATCTGTGCTTTATTTGTTAGAAGTTGGAAATGTGTTCTATTTTCTTTGAAATATTACAAGATTGGAATATTTAGAGCTGCACTGAAACATGGACAATTTTGAAACATTGTGTTTTTGCCACATGGTGAAGTGAACAGGTAATCTAAAGAATCGGCAAATGTACATACATGAACATGTATTTGCTACGGTAATTTTAAACAAACAATTACGAGGAACTGATCTTGCCTGTTACCAATTTCAGTACAATTATGAATTTATCAGCATTATGGTATTCAACTGTATACATGCAGTCTGCTATATCCTCTTGTCTATTTCTTCCACTGTGTGCTCCATAATCCATATAAATGAAGAAATGGATCATCTATGTGCTAATGAGCTTATTTCAAATGTACGTTTGTTCTTTTTACAATATGTGTTAATGTGAGTAAAATGTTACCTATCTTTATGCATACTAGTGAAGATATGTTAAAGTATGTTTTGAAGCTATAATAAACATAGAAATTGAAGCAGTACAAAATATACATTATTATAGATAAGGTCCTTCCTAAGTATAGGATACGATAATGATGCATTTTATAATTATATAGTGGAAGTGTATTAGAAGGATTACCAGCATATTATAAGAATTCATATTATTCTACATAAAATAAATTTATATCAGAGGAGAAGCATATTAAGTAAAAGAAAAATTACATATCCTAGAACTTAATATAATAAATTCCTATGCAGTGTATTATTAGTTACGAAGGCTTGTGCAATTATATCTTTATTTACATGTATTTGTGTTGTTGACAATTATATCATTATGTAAAATGTATCATTATTCTTTTTACTTTTGGAGAACATGGTCACTGTAATGTATACATGTGTGTGATTGCTACATGTACTTTGGGAGAAAATGTCAATATGCAGTAGCACAAATCTTCTACAACTTTGCTGCCAGTACAGTACACCTCAGATTAGTATAACCTTATACTGCCTGTAAGACCATTATGAAATAAAGCTAACATTTTATAACAGTTTTGTCACATTTGTGAATTCTACTCATATTATTATTATTATTATTATTATTTATTCGGCATTTCAAAATACAAGAACAATACAGAGTAATATGCAAATTACAGCAATTACAGGAACATATATATATATACATGATAAAGAAAGGACCTGAATCAGAGATGATGGGGCTGCCTGGGTTGGAAAAGGTTAACTAAATTACCATGACCCCATAAATTACATTATGTCCATGGTTTGTTTCCAATTATTTTGGATTCGTTTCTAATGATGGTAATTCTCTTATACATGTACAAACTTTCCTGAATTGAAATTAAATACCCAAGTATCAATGGCTGAGTAGAACTTAAAGGGATAGTCCACCCCAGAAATTTCTTTATACTGTCGAAATCTCCATAAAATTTCATGTAAGATGATTTCATTTATTTTTTAGAAAAGACAGGATTTAGCTGTAGAATCACAGTTGAAACATACACATTCTCCCTGTGATCGTCGTCACTGGGGATCGCCATTTTGTGAATTGACCCGCCGTGTGTGTGACGTATCTTGCGAGCTGGCCGTTATTGTATTCTGATTGGTCGGTGAATTTGTACAGGAATATTGATCTGTAAGATGCTTAATAGCATTTTGTTTTTCACTTTTAAACTTATATGTAATTTAAAAATAATTATTAAATAAACTTGTATTTATTAACGTTCACAAAACTGTTGCAATAAATTTTAAAAAGAGTCTACAAAACAAAACTCGTGTAATTTTTAAATTGGTTTCGTCGTCAAATGCGCACGCGTACGTGCGTGCATCGTACATTTGTAAACAACTTTCGGCTTTCTGTATCTACGGAAAATCCAGATAGCTTCTTACAATTAATGTCCAATAATCAAAGTTTGTTTATCATTAGCTAGCTACGTGTGAGTTTGAGAATTTCACATTATTAAATTCATGAAGGTACATTTAATCTACGATCACAAGTATTATTTTGAATCAAATTGAAACGCTGTTTGACACATATATCTAGGTACCATCCCATCGCTTCGCGAAGCTAGCTTATAGCGCTAGTATTGGAAGGTACCAGCTAGTACTAGCAGACGACAACCGCGCGTGCTGCACAGTATAAATATACAGCGGGAGGTTGATTCTTGAAGCCCGGTAAAATGAAATTATAAAACGGAAAGATAATTAATATAACTAACCTGTTTAGTACGTCTTCCACAAATCCTTCTTTCACTTGATGTGCGCATCTTAACCGGTCCTCGATGTATGAAAATGGTAGGAATAGCATCATCTTTGAGGATTTTTCGAGGTCTTGTACCGCATAGCTCCGCTTTCAGATCATGCTCGAAGCACCGTGGTTCAAAGTGGTCGCTACAAACGACATGATTTCTATTATATTGGTAATTGTTCAATTTGAATTTCGCCGATTTCAGCGCAGCAATCCATTTTGCACACCTTTCCCGTTCTTTCACGGGGTCCGGTATTGAGTAAAAACTTTTACCCTTTGTCCTAGAGGAGTCATTATAGCAACCTATTGCTTGGCAAAAGACCATGATTCGTCGTGTCAGTGCGATAACAGTGTACCGCGAGCGAAAGTGAATGTCTGCGAAATAAGGCAGCTCGCAACATACGTCACAATTTCGATACTATCGGTTATTTTTTGGCGATCGTTTCATGCCCATGTAACGCTATTGCATATGGCGGACGGCTGATTTTCGATACAAAAAGTCGATATATCTTCGTTATGTGATCATGGATTTTAATGAGACTTGTATCATTCTTCATGGTATTATTAGGTCTATATCGTCAGCTAAAGAAAATCCTGGGGTGGACTTTCCCTTTAACTGTGACGTTATCAACTTTCAGAACAGGGTTTTCCCCATTTATGGTATTAGATTATGAATAGATGGTGTAATGTCGAAGTATACCATCTTTCTGCTTTGGCATGCTTCACGTTCAGATTCAATTGTTAAAATGGAAAATCATGGAAATTGAAAATATTACAAGTTAGTATTTATAAAAGAGTGCGCTTGTAATCTTACTCTTGTACTTCCTTTTGTATCTTTATGTTTTTGGTCGCTCTATATGGTGCAATTTTTTGTTTGTTTTTGTAGTGTATGTCACCCTGGCTGCATATTGATACATGTTGTGAATGTTTCAGTACTGTTAATTTTCCAGAAACGTCTTCTCTATGATTATTGATATTATTGACAATCTACAAAATAATGTATGAAATATTTGACAAGATTATATGATATCAGAGACATAACTGATGTAAGGGACTCATTTACTTTTCTCTTTTAATATAACATACCCCATTTAAAATTAATATCTATGCTTAATGTTTGCATCCCCTGCCCTCTGATAAAGAGAGATGTGGATGAATAAATAGCTAAGGGAGGAAAGATTGGGAAAGGAAAAGAGAAAGCGAACAGAGAGATGAAAACAGGGAGGTAAAAAAAGAAGGAAGGGAGAAAGAGAATGGGATGAGAAAGATAGACTCAAGAAAGAGACAGTTTAGATGTTATGGTATTATCTTTATCTTTTGTGCTCTCTCTCTCTTCTTTTTACTCCCCCCCCCCCCCCCCCCCCCCACTTGAGAAAAAAGGTAAATTTGTGGTCACCATCTTTTTTAAAAACTTTTTCAGTGCCAGGGGTGGGGGCCCGTCTCTTCTGTTCTTTCTTTTTTTGGCCAGGAGGGGGAGGGGGTGGGCCCATCGCCCCCTCCCCCTGGATCCGCGCCTGCCTCTAGGTCCATTCTAAATACACCAACAAACGAATAAACAAAATATACATCTAGAATAATAGAATGCTGATTGAAATTTTATTCGCTTCAGGTTTGTTGATCTTAGGAGATCTTTTTGATGATGAAATTTTTACATGCAACCGATTATCACAAAGTTAGGGTACCTGCTAAAACCAAATATTAAAATTTACAGCTATTATGATACTCCAGTTTCCGTCTTTTGGAATTTCTGGAATTCAAAAATTTGTTAATGTTGAAAACATGTTTTGAGTAAAATCTCGATTCAAAACTGTTTAACAACATTTTTTCATGAAACTATGTTGGAATATTAAGGGACAATTAGATACCCGAATATATAAAGTAGATGAATATGTTCTAGAATACAGGAATCAGGAAAATATAGAAGATTCAAGTTCAAGTAATTCAACCTGTAGATAAAGATGTGGTAAAAGAAAACCTACATACAAGAAATTTACATACAATTTTCATGAGAATATTGTAGACTTTGCTTTAAAATACCTTCTGAGTAATCTACTGAAATAAAAATACATGTTTTCGTTTCAGCACTAATTCAAGCATTTAAAATAAGATGGCAATGATATATGCAGTAAAAGTGAACAAATATTACACACGAACACACAAACACGCACGCACGCGCACATACTTAAAATGACCTTGACCGTATGTTTGTGTGTATGCATACTGTGTCTTGATGCTTGATATGAAGTTATGCCACTTACGGCTTTGAACTTTGATCGTAATTCAATGTAATGTGCTTTGTCGACAATTTGTACCGGTGGCGACAATTTGTGCCGTCAGGTTTTGCAAAAATCGGCACAAATTGTCGCCGTCGACAATTTGTGCCGCAACAGACGCCCATGCATATCATATTTCCTTCATTGCTGTAGGACCTTATACGATAATATCAAGCCTGGAGTAACTTCATCGTTCTCAGTCGCATAACCGATCTCCTCGTGTGATATCTTCTCGAGTACTCCATCTTTGGTCAGACTGGCAAAGGATGATTTCAGCTTTATGCCTGCCATCTCCTCATCAAAGACGTTTTTCCTCGTGGTGATGAGAATATGTCCTCCTGAGAAAAGAGTGATTCAACAGTGATTATCATATTGGGATAATAGATGAACTGATGCGTAGCAAAAATATAAGACAAAATAATTTTGCTTCGTTTGAGAAAGAGAGACTATGCAAATATGCTAATGTTTTGTATACCTATACTTTACATATTACGCCAATGGAAATAAACTAATACTCCTCTGATACTAGTCATTTACACATCATCAAAAGATTATGGATCGGTGTCAGACCATTGGTTAAGAGAGGAGGTTGAAACTGTTACGGGGGTTGGATTCATGTTTTAAATCTCTTTAACTCGTTTGATGAGTAAGGTAAAACGAAATAAACATTAACATAAAACAGCCTGCCACTTCAATTAGGCATTGTAATACAATGTTGGTATAATTTTAATGGCCTCATTGATCATGTTAATCAAATACAGTCTGGGGAAAGACTTTAAGGTGGTTTCAGGTAACTGCTGTAACTTGAGATCGTCATTCTTGAGTTGCTAATTGTACGTTCTTTTGGTATGGCAAAGTTGATATGATTACGTAAATTATGATTCCCTACAAGTGAAGTACGTATTATTCTGAAACTATAGCACTTAACATTACGTAAGATATACTTTGAGTGGTTTAATGTCGATTGTCGAATGATGTTGATTGAAATTTTTTTTACCAGCTTTGAGAAGACGAATAATCTCTGGAAGACAGGCGTGAGTGAGATGACACGGTACAAAAACACCAGCGCTTATTATCACGTCAAAATAACCTGGAAATAATAAAGGGTATATAATACCGAGTTAAGATAGGGTGAGAAGAAGAAGAAGGAAACAAAAAAGAAGAAGAAGAAGAAAAAGAAAAAAATGAAGAAGGATGAATGGTGTCTGAGAGTAAATGCTTGGGAGAGGAATAGCGAAATTTTTTTAGGGCGGCTGGACTTAAACTAGGGGTAATAATAATTCTTTTCGCAATATAAAAATGTAGCTATTATTATTATCATCATTATCGCAACGAATTTTTGTCAATTTTCACATTATTGTATTTTAATTTTGTTAAACAAGCCTCTTGATAAAAAAATATTCATATTGCGTGCTTTGAAGTAAGAAAAAAAAAATATCTCAAACTATTTTAGAAGCTCAATTTAGGGTTAAATTGAGTAATACTACATCGAATGCTTACCATCGGCATATTGGAGAGGTGTGCTAGGATCAAATCTAGCCTTTACTAGCTTCGAGTAAATCTGTTTCTTTTCAAGAACCTTTAATGATCCAGCTGACATGTCTACTCCATGTATATCACGGTATCCGTTATCGTAGAGCTACAACGGTGGTAGAAGAGAGAGAGAGAGGGGGGAGGGCAGACAGACAGACAGTGAGTGTGTGTGTGTGTGTGTGTGTGTGTGAGAGAGAGAGAGAGAGAGAGAACCATACAAATTTATTTTAAGAGTCCGTTTTCTGTCTGATATTTCATATACATTATTATTTTGCAAAGCATTCGTAACCATAACTAGCTAGAAAGAATAATTATTGTCTTAATTTTAATCATACCAGGGAGGTGATAGAGAAGGAGTGGAATCAAGCCGCTATTCTTTGACTCCATGCTCCAAGCCGCCGAAAAGTTATGCGCTATTCCGCAACTGACGAACAGGTGGTGAGATACAAGAGCGCATGACATAATCAGGATTTAGAATTCCTATATTAGAAAATGATATCTCAGCAAATGTTCGCTGTCCCTTTCAATGAGTTTTCTTTTACCAACTCTGGCACACAAATTATTGGAAGGGCGGTGTACTAAGTTTGTTTGTTGTTGTTGATGCACTACTCCCAATACGATCCCCATATAATACGATCCCCATTTCGCCGGTAATTTAATACATGTGAAACTGGTGCTAGGCCTCCGAAATTCCCCGCAATTGGAAAAACGGCTCGGAGCATGGAACTTCAAAGCCAAGTGGAATGTTACGCATCCAATTGTTACGCCTTAGAACTCACGCATGCGTTTGAATAAATTACAAGAGTTTCCACTCCTTCTCTTGTTGTTGTTGTTTTTATTTCCGAAATCAGATTAAAATATTATACATAGTAAAATATACAAAGTAAAGTATTTATACATGGACATAGACAAAAATCGGTCGAAAGCCCAATTCAGCAGTGTTTATAGAACACTACTGTTCTTCCTTGGGGTCCTTACACTACAATATTAACATAAAAGCGACATAAAGCAGAATAGAAACAAAACACAAATACAAGTTTTTGTAAATACCAAAGTATCACAATATTCAAAAATACTATCATACGCGTACTTTTTTGGTTTTAAAGCAATTTTGTTTTATTTCTCCAAATGTATAATACAAACCATAACATACAATTGAATAAAATAAACTTGTTCAATATTGATTACTTTGACATAAACATAATTAAACAAAACCTCACTTGCAGTATATATAACTGAGCAACAAAGTAAACGTATAGGTATCTAAATATAATATTGGTGGACAGTTGCTAAAATCGATTTTGATTTATCATTATTGATTTTCCAATTGTAAATGTTATTCACTTATATAAAAAAATAAAAAAAACTTAAACAAATCTGGAGGTAATTTTAACTGGAACAATGCCTGGTCCTCCCTGCCCCCTCCCTGGCCCTGCCCCCTCCCTTACACAAAACCCCACCCACCCACACACATACTCAACCACTCACCCACTCACCCACCCACCCACCCCCTCCCTACACACACACTACTCACTCAGTGGATGTCTGCTAACATTCTCAACTCAAGAAAAATATACTAAATAAGTATACAGGCCGCAAAATAGAGTTACACTTTTAACAGGCTCACGGTGGAGAAGAAAACAAATCTTGATTAATCTTAAGCTGCTCCGACTTTAAGAAACGTGATCCCAGCTTTCCCATTCTAATTGCTATTTTCTTTTCCTCATCCCTATACTTAAATTTTATTTTTTTTCATCTTTTCTAAAGTTGGTACTCGCCCCCCCCCC